TATATTAGGCCTGTCTCTTATACAAATCTAGATGTGTATAAGAGACAGGGTTTCGGCATGTTTCGGCAGTTTCGCAATTTTGACAGATTTCGCAGTTTTGGCGTTTCGGCGTTTCGGCACTATATAAGAGGTTTCACCTTTCGGCATTAGGCCAAACAGGTTTCGGCAAGCAACCTTAGTAACAATAATATAAAAAAAATAACATACAATTACCAGAACAATAGGTAATAATGGCCTTTAGAAGGATTTATATAGCAGATAGGTTATTTTAGGTTGAATTTTTCATTTTTAGATCTTTTCTATTTGTACGTTAGTTACGCTTATTTTTAGCCAAAAAACCATTCCTTTAACAATAATATTTGAGTAATTTTCATGCATGAAGCAATTTTTACTGAATAATGAATATTTAAGACACGATAGGTGCCAGATTTTAGCATTTATTGCGAGTTTCTATTTGAAAATATTTTTCTCAATATTTTTTTTGGTATTTTTAAGTTTCATCACATGACTTGGTACTACAACATGATTTGTAATAATTTTGATTGGCAAAATTTTGCCTATTTAGTTTATTTTTTGCAATAAAATTTCCCCTGAATTTATATAGTAATTTTCTGTCAATCATACGCGGATTGAATCTTAAATAAATTTTTTAATATTAAAATTTTATTATCTGTAGAATTTTAAATAAAATTTATTAATAAAATTACTAAAAGTATATTTAACTAAAAATTAGTATTCAAAAAATTTTACTATAATATATCATAAATTGCAAAATATAAAAAATAAGAAAAAAAAATCTCAAATATTTAATGAAATTTTTAAATTTTCTTATAGTTTTAAAAAGTATTAATATAAAAGCATTAAATTTACTTTATTAAAATTTAATTAATATAATAATTTATATAATAAAATAATGGTAATATAATTAAAAATATTTTTTATTTTTTTTTAAAAAAAAATTTATGGATTTTTTGTATATACTAGACTTTAAAAATAAATTAGAACAAAGTAGGGTTTTTTTATTTATTTAACTTTAAAGAAACATTTTTAACATTTTATTTTTATTTTTTTTCTAAAAATACTGAATTTTTTGTATATATTAAACTTTAAAAATAAATAAAAAAAAAAAGGCTTTTCTTATTTATTTAATTTTAAAAAAATGTTTCTAATATTTTATTTTTTATTTTTTTCTAAGTTTCCAAATTTTTTATATAGATTAGATTTTAAAAGTACAGTCATACCTCCATAAGTGCATACACCTGAAGTTTAGCCATGAATATGCAGTTAAGAAGAATGTGTACTTAAAGAACAGACAATAGAAAAATTAATATTAGTAATTAGAAAGAATATTTGGGGTTTTTGCAATAGAAAGATACGAAACTCAAAAAATATCAAAAATTGAATTAATACTAAATTTGCATTTATTTCAGTAAAAAAAACATAATTAGTATATAAAGTAAAATTAAAATTTTTTTTTTGAGTTTCATATCTTTCTATTGCAAAGACTCCATTTATTTGAATTTACTTTTATTTTATATTTTCATTTTAATGAAAGAATAAAAAATTGCATATACAAAAATAATCTGTGATGTAAAATAATATTCAAAAAAATGTAAATCATCAAATTTATCTATTTTAAAAAACTAAACAGCTATTGATAATTGGTCAATATTATATAATTATCACATGAATGCATTTTTCTAATATACCTAGAATTTAGAATTACATATATATGTAAAATATAGAGGATATGCATTTAGCTCTAAGTTTCTAACTTAGAACCAAGCTATGACATACATATAGGAAAGAAATGCACTTATAAAGAATAATGCATTTATAGAGGTGTGACTGTAAATTAGAAAAAAAAAAGTTTTTTTTTTTATTTATTTAACTTTAAAAAAACATTTTTAATACTTTATTTTTTATTTTTTATTTTTTTTAGAAATACTAGTTTTTTGAAAACATTTTAATATTTTATATTTGGAGTTTGCTATTTATCACTGGTGGTGATCATCACTGGTATCACGTGATTTTATAAAATTTGGTCGGAATTAAGGAATTGACATATAAATTTCCTTTTATGGAGTTTGAGTAACGTTACACAATCTAAAGGCAATTTTGTTTCTCATAAAAAATGAGAAATGCATTACACAAGATTCCAAAAAAGGAATTTTTTATGTAGATCACCTAATTCCGGCCAAAATTTTAAAAATCACGTAATACCGGTGATGCTGGTGATTCGTAGCAATTTTATTTATATTTTATTTTTTTTTTTAGAAATGCTAGTTTTTTGTACATGCCAGACTTTAAAAGTAAATAAAAAAAAAGGCTTTTTTTATTTATTTAACTTTAAAGAAATATTTTTAATATTTTACTTTTTTTTAAAAAAAAAGTTTCCAGATTTTTTGTATATACTAAACTTTAAAATTAAATTGAGAAAAAGTAGAGTTTTTTATTTATTTAACTTTAAAAAAACATTTCTAATATTTTTTTTTTTTTTTTAAAGATACTGATTTTTTATATATACTAGATTTTAAAGATAAATAGAAAAGAAAGGTTTTTTTTTATTTGTTTAATTTTAAAGAAATATTTCTGATGTTTTATTTCTTATTTCTTTTCTAAGGTTTCTGGATTTTTTATATATATTAGGCTTTAAAGATAAATTAAAAAGAAAAGGAGTTTTTTTTATTTGTTTAATTTTATTTTATTTTTTTTTT